ATTGGCAGTAGCAGTAGGAATCTACCCGGGAAAGTGGGGTGGGGCATACTCATTAACAAGAGTACCTGTATAATGAACATTTTTATACCTAACCCTGAATTGTACCCCATACCTTTAAAAAAAAAAAGGAAAATTAAAAGGAAGAAAAAAAAGAAAGTAAAAAAAAAGAGTGTACATTATGTCACATGTTTATAAAAGAATGAATATACACCTTATATACGAAGGAAATACCTCTGATAGAATACAAAAGTAACTGATTATCATTGGTTATCTCTAAGGAAGGAAATTAAGTAGCTAAGGCCAGGGAAATGAATGTTTTTACTGTATAACTTTTCTTGCCTTTTGAATTTTGAACGAAGTAAGTGAATGAGGCACCTATTCGATAAACAGGACTTGGACCTTATCTTGATTCCACCACAGCACCTAACTGCACCTAGTACACAAAGGAACTCAATAATGTTTTCTTAACTCAGCTAGCACATAAAAGTCCCTGGCACACAGCAAGTACTGAATAAATACTGGTTGCTTTGACTTAGCAGTGTGTGACCCAGAACTACAGGGATATGGGTGCGGATGGGTGAGGAAGGCTCCTGCCATTCCCACAAGTGAACTGGGAAAGAGGCAGAGGTGGGACACTGCACACTGGCATAAAGCCCTGTCCTGCCTTGAAAACCTGTAATGAGGAGAAGAGACATGAGATGACACATTAAAAACTGACCACTGAAGTGTGCTCTCAATTATCTCCCTGCAGCTGCCCTGTGCTGGGGAAAAAAAGCTGACTGGATTCAGAAAAAGGTGGCAGGCTCTTACCTGGCTCTGGGGGCTCTTTGCTCACATGCTCAGCTTCCATGGACCCAATGCCCCCACTAAACATGATGGGCTTGATCCACTCACGCCGCTGACCGTTCGGGAGCTGGAGGCCAAAGGAGCGGGCAAAACCTGGAGTGTGGACATCAGAGGGAGGGGGACAGGGGTCAGTCCCCCAGTTCCCCCAGCACTTACCAAATTTCCCAATACCCTACCCACAAGCCCCTCTGGGACTAGGTATTCATCATCCCTCCACACCCCCAGCCTCACCAGCCAGCACTGGTTCCCCGAACTTGTTGCCGTAGTCAGAAGCCCCATTACTGGCT